TGGTCTGGGCCTCTGAGCCGTCTGCCCAGCCCTAACAAACACAGCAGAACACTATTACACAGACTTTAGCAAAGTAACATACACAGAGAAAGAATTAGGATGACTTGCTCTGAACTTCTTTGACTTCTGTAAATAGTAACATACATACAAAGAACCAGGTCAGGAACAGTTCCACAAACAGTAGTACACTGTCCCTCTTCACTATGTGTAAAGACGTTTTCATTATTGGTGACGATGTAAATTTTTGCATTTTAAAGCTCCTAACTGCTTTTCACATCTGCCTCATGGAGCCGAGGATGCTGCCTTGACTTGTTGGAAGACATTTCTACATCCTGAAGGCGATCACTTTACCCTCATCAACATTTATAAGGCCTACCAAAACATAACTCTGAACTCTACAAGTGAACGTAAGTGAATGCAGCTGGTTCTCACAAACCACCTGATCTACCTTTTCCTAAATAAGGCTGTTTATTGTCCTTCATTACTACTCTTTTCCTGTAGTCCTGTTGGCCACTTCAGTGGCACTTGAGGCCCTAAAAAACAAGTTACTGCTGAGCTGTATAGACACTTATCATCCTATTCCAGTGTCAGCGTGCTGCCATGTGTGCCTGTGTTTCTAGAGCTTTGATACTCTGCTAGGCCAGCCTTTGACTAAATTCGCTTGGCCATGGGCAGATGAAAGCAGACATCTCCAAGTGCCCACTCTGTCAGATCTCTGCTGTCCTTCTACAACCTAGCCTTTTCATTTCCCACACGGAGAACACTCCATGGAGTAGTGTGCTCTCCAGGGAGAGTGTGCTGAAGAAGGCGGGAAGGGATTCAACTGAAGCATGACCCACTCAGAGCAGCGGGGATCCAGAAGAGCAGGAGTGAAAGTGCAAAGGCAGAGGCAGAACCAGTGTGTGTGCCTGAGTGACAGTGGATACACTAGCTGCACGAGCAGGTAGCTAGTGCTGAGCAAACTGGAAGCTTCTACGTGAGGGGCAGAGGGCAAAGGAGCATAGTGGAGGTTGGAGTCACCAAAACTTGCTAGGAAGAAGCTCCGTTCCCAAAAGGAGGACTTTTCTCACCTTTTGTTTTCCATGAAGCATCTTTTATTTCCTTTGCTACTAAAGATGGTGTGAAAAATACTTGAAATGTGGGAAATATGACAACAATTTGAAAGGCAGCAGAATCATATAAAGAGCAGGGAGCTAAGAAAGAGCAGAGTTAAGAAAGTTTTTGGGGGGTGACAGTGTTTGAACAAATAATCTCTTGCTCCTATCAGGCCTAAGTGGGCAAGGCAAGGTCAGTATGTGTCTTCTACCTAATGTGCCAGGCCATGTGCATTCCTGGGTCAAGGCAAAACTTATATACGAATGGCAAAAAAGATAACTTCAAACATAGGGCAGGCAAGATAACTTAGTGGACTAAGCGCCTGGTTAGGCAAGCACAGAGACTGGCGTTCCATCCCCAACACCACATGCATGCCTGTAATCCCAGTGCTAGGGAGGCTGAAAACAGGAGGATCACTACGAGTCAGAGCTGTGTTGTGAGACCCTGTACCAGATACATTAAAAAAATAAGTAACTTCAAACTAAACCAGGGCTGGGGAGATGGCTCAGTAGAATAAGTGCTTGCCTGGCAAGCACAAAAGCCTGAGTTCAATCCCCAGTCCCGCCAAAAAAATCAAACTAAACCAGATGAGTGAATTTCAATAAAAAGTTGTGCCCATCATAGATAAGCTGAGCTATAACATAACTCCAGAGTCAGCCTGGTAGTAATCCTTTTCATGTGAAATGAAACATGAGACACTTTCATGTATTAGAGAAATGTATACTGTAATTGTTTTCCTTCCTAGTTTAAACATTGCAGGTAATGTATACCTTTGCTGTCTACACAACCCAAAAATATGGATCTTAACACAATCTCCTGTACCTCCCAACAGCCACAGGTTAAAGGAAATATACTTCCAATCAGCACTGATAACATGCTGTTCCCCCACTGCACAGGATCCTGGACCCTCAACCAGTGGGCATAAGTGATGCTAGTGCCACACCATCTCCTTCCTGGGACTGCCACATGCATGATCCTGTAGCCACCAAGAGCCTTGTCCTTGCTGCTCTCCTGCCACTTGTTTATGTGACCTCCCAAGAATACATAGGGCTTGGGGCCGGGGAGATGGCTCAGAAGAATAAGTGCTTGCCTGGCAAGCACAAGGGCCTGAGTTCAATCCCTGGTTCTGAAAAAAAAAAGAGTACATAGGGCTTACAGACAGTGCCTGCCCGCCTGACACAGGCTCTTTCAAGTGTAAGATGAATATCTAACTAGCCTCTCTTCTCTTCCTCTTAGACTGTGTGGAAAAGTGGTGTCAAGATTACTTCCTCAACTATTCTGCTCTCAGGATGGCAGATGTTATCCGAGCTGAACTTTTAGAAATTATCAAGCGAATTGAGCTTCCCTACGCAGAACCTGCTTTTGGCACAGAGGAAAACAATCTGAACATCAAGAAAGCACTGCTGTCCGGTTACTTTATGCAGGTAAAGAGATGCAGAGTTGCCTTGGCAGGGGCTGCACTAAATGCCATATACTCAGGACATTCCATCAGCAGCCTTTCTCTTAGGGTGATGGTTCTATGGCCCTTACCTTTAAATAAAACTAAAAATACATGTTACTAAAGAGTTGGTATTAATGTCCCCTCAAAGGAGTACAAGGCCAAGCCAGATTATGTTGACTTCGTCCAAAAGACAAGACCTCAGCATAGAAAAGATGAACATCAGATGTAGTTTCTCATCTCACCTGTTTAGCTACTAAGACCTGATGAGTAAAGACTCGTTTTGTCTTTTCCCACAGTGAAAGCTAAGTAAAACAACATTACAGAAGTAGGGATACCCTTCATATCATGAGAAATACAGTATTTGCATATAACAAACTTGAAACAGTCTTAATGAAAAAAAATGCTATTTTGGCATGAATTTCCTCATCTGTAAGGAAGAAGTAAGGTATGTCACAGGGTTTGGTATTAGGTGAGCTATAACATCAAGTGTAAAACCTGGACATTTGGGAAAATGGTCCATAATAAAACAGGGAAAATCTGCAGTTTATTTTATGACTGAAACAGTCACCTTACACCTGCACCATTTTAACATACTACCCTGAAACTGTTGGTTAACAATGTCACTGTCTTTGTTTTTTCTTTTTTAATTAATTTTATTGAGAAACGAGACAATTTCAAAACCAATTAGTAGGGCACTTTCAGTAATTAATACATTGTATAGTTGTCTTCATAGTGGTTATTCATAGTACAAGATGCAGACATGATATCCCATCCAAACACTATTAGTACAAATCTTTATCACTTATATTTTCTATGTAGGAAAACCGGAAACAAAGGCAGCACATTTTAGTTTTAACTATTTGGTACAAAATAATTGTGTACTGATCTCCCCATTGATGCAGAATCTTTTTTTTTTTCTTCAAAACTGCCTTTTAGATTGCTCGAGATGTTGATGGGTCAGGTAACTACTTAATGCTGACACATAAGCAGGTGGCTCAGTTGCATCCCCTGTCTAGTTATTCCATCACCAAGAAAATGCCCGAGTGGGTCCTCTTCCACCAGTTCAGCATATCTGAGAACAACTTCATCAGGATCACCTCTGCAGTCTCTCCTGAATTGTAAGTTTAATGGAGAAGAAAGGCTTTCTTCTGAACTCATTTGTAGAAGTGAATGACAAAGTTAGTGTTTGTTGCACTTTCAGGTGTAAGTTTGCACAGGTACCTATCTTTACATAGACAGTACCTACTACAGACAGGGCCCTGAGGATGACACCCAAGAAACATCAATTGCTGCCTTTAAGCTTAATGAGAAGATAAGGTACAAACAAGAATCAGCATTGTCTTAAGAGGAATGTTACAGGAAAGGCACAATTATCAGGTGCACTGACCTTGAGGAGTAATGAACTTTTAGAAGCAGAGACAACACTAGCTGGAGCTACCAGGGGCTGTACGGCTTTCTGGGCCACACAAAGGGTTTGGATTGTACTGTAAGTAAACAGAATAGTTGAAGTTTTAGGCAAAAAAAAATCTCTACATATTTGGCAGCTAAGTGGAAAATGGGTAGAAGGGGTGATACTGAAGACAGAGGCTATTGCAGATTCTGGATCCATTTCAAAGGTATCACTCCTTCTTGGGCAAAGTGATGTTCAAGGCAGCAAACAAGAGCATAATCATAAGCAGCTAGATAGGGAGCAGTACTAGTTGAGGAAGAAGCAAATCTCTCAAGTATATACCTGATTGGGGCTGGGGAGATGGCTCAGTAGAATAAGTGCTTGCCTGGCAAGCGCAAGGGCCTGAGTTCAATCCCTGATTCTACCAAAAAAAATAAAACAGAGTTAAAAAAAAAAAATTATGTATCTGATTGTTTTATATAGTAATGAGCCTAAAGAAAGTAGTTACTACCAATGGTCAATGGCAAGAACATTTCTACCCTATAACCTAACACTAGAGAAGCCAACTTATCCTAAAAATACAATTGGATTGGCTACATGAAAACCAAAAGCTATTCTTCAAATGTAGACTGAGGTGTGGGGAAGTTAAATACTAGTTCTGTAAGTAGATTCTTCAGGGTGGAGAAGGACCCAGACATGATGTTCAGTATTCACCACACCCCTGCCCTCATCTAAACTTTTTGTTTTGAACAGATTTATGCAACTGGTACCGCAATACTACTTCAGCAATCTGCCTCCCAGTGAAAGTAAGGACATCCTACAGCAAGTAATGGATCACTTGTCTTCTATTTCAAGCATAAAACAGGAACAGACAATGTGTGAGAAGTGCCCTGAAACTACTGAACAGAGATGCACTATTCAGTGACTGCCTGCAAACCCAAGGTGCAATAAGAATCCCAAAGTGACCTGACAGTGGCCCCGCTGGAGCTATGTGCAAATATTTAAAGCAGAGGTGGGTACCATACCCGCAGGATAGTCTTGAAGAAATAACACTTTGTACGTGACTTTAAAATAAAAAATAGAGGAGTTTTTATTGAGTTCTTTAAATTCCTACTCCATTTTTTGTCTTATTGGACATTTTTAATCAACTAGTCTTAATTTGTCCAAAAATTTTTTTTTAAAGGTATTTTGTAAATGTGTCACAGACACATGGAACAGAACCCTACTTTTTGTAGAGGACTTTAATCTGAATAAAGTCATGAGTTTTCCAGTAAATCTCCACTGGGTTTTCTGATAACATTACAAAAACAAGCCCATCACTGTCCATGGGAAATGGGCTATACCGACAGATGTTCTTTCAGTTTATCCATGATTTCATTCATCTTGTCATGTGGAATTAACATCACAGTTCGCAAGGGCTTCATTGGTACATCATCAAACGACCATCTACCTCCCAGACAAGTGTCACCCTCCTCTTGCACTGGGTAGTTGAACTTCAGGACTGCCTTCTATAGCAAAAAAGTAACCGTGAATTAAAAATGTGACAACCCAAAGGCGAAACTCAGTCTACAACAAAGAACATTATATTTTATATAAGTTCAAACGATAACAGCTAAACGAAGCAAAATCTCAGCATTAAGCAAAGCTCAAATGAGATATTCAGGCAGAAATTATGAAACATTCAGCAAACAGATTTTTAACCTACACAAGGAACATGGACTGAGGTGTGCCATTTCTAAAAGGTGAATGGGAAGCTAGTAATCCTAGTGCTTTTACCCACTTACACAGACTCTTTCTAATTCCAAAGGTGCTCACATTCATGATCTCATTTGACTTTTTTTTTCTTTTTGCAGAACCGGGGATTGAACTCAGGCCCTTGCGCTTGCCAGGGAAGCGCTTATTCCACTGAGTCATCTCCCCGGCCCCTCATTTGACTTTCAAAATAAGCATATAACAGTTCAGTGAAATTAAGACTCTTAACATTTGAGAGCTAACACCTATATGTACTTTCCCCAAAATGGTGTGAGGCGCTCAGGCATACATTTTTTTGAATTTATTTTTACTATTTTTGAAAAAAGCACAGCTAAATCTATCCTGCTTTAGTACTGACTGTAAAGTCTCAACAATAATAGGTGTTCATCATTCAATTCAAAAACATATTCTCCCTCTCAGTTACGTAAGATTTTTGAGAGGAAAACTGTAGTAAGAGCGAATATTCTCTGGTATTTGGTCATCCCTCACTAGGAACACTAGCAGTCCCACCAGTGGGATGACAGCCACAACTAAGGGAACAGAGCAGCAAGTGCATTCCAATTTCTGTACTGACTGGCTGTGTGACCTCAGGTAATTTCCCTAATCTCAGATTCAACATTCACACTGTTAAATGGACTCATGTCTATCTTACTACATGGCTGTAGAATTAAAAATCTCATAGTAAACATTATAAACAGGTGCTCACTCCCACACACACACATTCTACCTAAAGTGTGGCATGAAGGTTGGTAAATGGCCTTTTGAGTACCTACTTTACCAGGTGCTAGGTTAGCTGCTAGCCAGAGCCCATACTTGGAAGAACTTTGATATAAAATGAGAGAACAATAAATTTAATAATTTTCAAGATAATCTTTACATTTAAATATATGAAACAAGACTCTTACCTCATAGAAAAATTCTTCCTCTGCATTTGCAAACATTAACTCATCCTTCTTTTGGTTGTTCCATTTCTTTTTAGAATTGGTTTTTCCTACTTCCACAAATGTCTTACTAACGAAAAGATAGAAGTAGCACTTTCCACATGGCTTATTAGTTTTATGTGCCTCTGCTAGCTCTTTCCTACAAAGTAGACACACAGAATATTACCTCTGGGCTACCTTAAACATACAAAAGCACACAGCCACAACTAACATGACTACTACAATCTTAAATGCAGAGTTCAGAACATACCATAGTTCTGACATACTGTATAAACTGCTCAGAAGTGGACATCCCAAATTGTAGAATAGTCAAAAGAATTACAGTTTTTCAGTGCTTAAATTTACAAATTCTGTAAACTTAAAACCCCATTAAGTAACAAAAACTCCAAAAAGCAAAAGACACACTGAGGACTAGTTTCATTAGTTATAAAATATACCAAAAGAATTTAGGAATTTGATTCAACTTTTGTTACTGCTGTAATTGTTCAGCATTCTATTCATGTTATAGAAACCAAGGTAAAAAATGGTCAAGTGGGGTTTAGTCTCTTTTACACTTTAAATTACCACGAATAAAACGCTTCAAAAAGCAAGACAGAAATGAACACACCTCACAAAATCTCTTCCTCACAGTAAAATTGCTTACACCTATTTTAGAACTTTTATACCTACACCTTCCATTTCAAGCACCTTTCTGAATGTACTTGGTACTATTTATGGGCATTTCCGAAGTCTCTTACTGAAGTTGCTGGTGCATGGGCAGAGCGATCTGTGGAGGGACATTAATGAATCTTTCACTTAGCAGAAAGCCCACAGGCTTGGTGGTGTCATTTAAGAGCTTGTCCAGCTGTTCAACCATGCTCTTTTCACAGTTCTTCTCGCAGCAGCTTAGAATCAACTCTTTAATTTGTTCAGCACACTGGGTACCCTAGAAAGCAAAGAGAAACTTTGCTTTTTATTACAGGCTATCACTTACAGGCAAAAACTTGAAAGTGAGAGCCACTATTTTTTCTCACAGGTAATGGGACTTTCCTGCCACAGCCTTTACAATCTAGTATGT